TAATGATTCTGTTAGCCCCGTTAGGTGATTTTGGACTTAGGAGTGCGTACGGAATGTAATTTGGAGGTCCCTAGTGGAATTAAGCTTGAATTGGCGAAAATTAGAAATTTGGCGATTTTGGTCGACAGTGGAAAATTTGATATCGGGGTCGGAATGGATTTTTGGAAGTTGGAGTAGGTTTGTGGTGTCATTTGTGATGTGTGTGTAAAATTTGAGGTCATTCGTACGTGATTTGATAGGTTTCAACGTTATTTGTAAAATTTAGAAATTTAGAAGTTCTTAGGCTTGAATCCGAGGGTAATTTCGTATTTTGGTGTTGTTTTGGGTGATTCGAAGGCTCGACTAAGTTCGTATGGGGTTATATGACATTTTGACATATTTGGTTGAGGTCTGAGAGCCTCGGGTGTGTTTTGAGTGGTTAACGGATCAAGTTTGACGTTTGGAGAATTGTTGAAGTTGGCCTACTGCTGGTGTTATCGCACATGCGAGGGTATTACCGCAGGTGCGGTAGGATTGGCGCAGATGCGGAAGTGAGTTGGATTGGGAAAAACCGCAGGTGCGAATGGGTGTGCGCATCAGTGAGCCCGCAGAAGCGGGTAGTTTCCAGCAGAAGCAGAAGAGAGGAGGACTGGCAGTGGCCGCAGGTGCGAGGTCTTTTCCGCACTTGCGAGGTCACAAAAGTGGATAGGGAGCGCAGGTGAGGAGATGGCACTTAAGTGATTTTCCGCAGATGCGGAGATTGTTGCGCAAAAGCGGCTCCGCAAGTGTGCATTTTGAGCCGCAGATGCAAAAAGCCTGGGCATAACCTATAAATAGAAGACTTCGCGAATTTTTACTCATTTCCACCATTTTCAAGTTGGACCTTGGAGCTTTTGGGGTAATATTTGAAGGGGATTCAAGGGATTTTCACTGAGGTAAGTTACTTGAGCTCTAATACTCCTAGCTATGGTGTTTTCCCATTATTTTCTCATCTAATTAGTGGGATTTAGGAGTAAAGATAGGGGGTTAGGGCTTGGGATTTTGGAGAGTATAATTTGAGGAACCAAATGATGTCGGATTTTGATAAATTTTGTATGGTTAGACTCGTGAGTGAATGGACTTTCAAGTTTTGTAACTTTTTTCGGACTTTGAGACGTGGGCCCGGGGGCGGGTTTGAGCCAGTTTCGGGTTTAGAGTCTAATTTGTAGTTTTCCTTGTGGAATTTATTCCTTTAGCATATGTTGATAGTATTGTACTGGTTGTGACTAGATTCGGAGCATTTGGAGGCCGAATCGAGGGGCAAGAGCATCGCGGAGTAGAGATTTGCTCGGTTTGAGGTAAGTAACTATTGTAAATCTAGTCCTGAGGGTATGAAACCCCGGATTTTGTGTCACGTGACTATTTTTTGAGGTGACGCACATGCTAGGTGACGGGCGTGTGGGCGTACACCGTTGAGGATTATGACTTGGTCCGTCCCTTAGCAACTTTAAAGTTGAATATCCTGTTGTAGCTATATGCTTCCTATGTGTTTTAGAAAGATGTACTGTAAATCATGCTGGATGCCATGTTTAAGCCTTATGCCAGTATTGTTTGGATCTTTAGAGGTTTTTTCTTGCTGTCCTCTCACTGTTTTGGTTGATAATCTGTATTCAGTCATGTTCATACATTTTTACATCATAGCTCAGTCTCTGTTACTTTATTTGATGCATCATATCAATGTTGGTTGGGCTGATTACTTTGATTTATGAGAGCCAGAGAGACTGGAGAGATTTATGACTGAGTGAGGCCGAGGGCCTAATTTGTGAGGACATTTATGGGATCGGGCTACACGCTGCAGTATGTTTTATTGATTCTGCCATGATGGGCATTGATATAGCGCTTGGGCTGAAGGAGCCCCTCCGGAGTCTGTACACATACCCAGTGAGTGCAGGTACCTACTGAGTGCAAGTGCCGAGTGCCGAGTGCTGAGTGATTGTGAGGCATGAGTGATTGTGAGGTTGGAGTGATTGGGAGGATTGGGTGATGTTTTCCCGAGGGGCGGTATATGATTTCATCATTTGGGCTCATAGATACTTTGAGTCCTTGTTTGAGAACTGTTGAAAGATATTTTTAATTGATTTTACCTGAACTGGATTTAAACAAGCTGATTTGACTTAAACACTGGTTTTAAAGCATGCCGTACCTTACTGAATTTTGTGATATGAACTATACTTGTATCTAGCTCGTCACTACTTCTCAGCCTTTGTTTACTGCTGTTACTTACTGAGTTGGTGTACTCACGTTACTCCCTGCACCTTGTGTGCAGATCCAGACATTCTTGGCCATGGTAACGGTTGTTGATATACTCAGTAGCGGATCATCAGAGATAGCAAGGTAGCTGCCTGGCGATCGCAGCCCTGCTTTTCTTCTTCCTTATCTTCCCGTTAGTTGTATGGGTTTCTCCCAGACTATGTTAGTCTTGTTGTTATCAGATAGTTTGTAGTAGTTGCTCATGACTTAGTGACACCCCGATGTCGGGCTGTCTTTTTCGCATTTTTATTTTGAGTTGAACTCCTTTATGAAGATTCTATTATGAAAAGATTTGACTTATCTTTTAAATGAAATATCGATGTGTTTTGGTAATGTGTCGGCTTGCCTAGTACCATGATAGGCGCCATCACGACATGATTTAGTTTTGGGTTGTGACAATCTTCTTCGAGAAAGAGTAATAATAATAAAAAAGAAAAAGAAAAAGAAGAAGATAAATTTAGTAATAAGAAAGTAACAACTATTGACATTTCCAAAGAACACGAAAATAGGAAGAAACTGCAGTTGATTGAATTGCCGTTTACTTTGAATACTTATCTTGGGCACCCTAAATGATTAAAGGAAAAATACATCCCGAACGCAACCTATGCGTCAAACTATCAAAGTAATGCATGCATGATATGTCTATTATATAAGATTTATTACTTAACCGTAATTAAATAACATGAATCCTTTATCTACATTGATCACTTAATCATAGTAAATTACCATGATTTGGTGCTTGAGCAGGATCAAACAAATTTGTCCATGCTTGAAGTCTAAATAGACCACATAAGACATACCAAAGGTAAAGCAAGTCACAATTTTTTTTTCTCAACTGTATTTTTTTGTTGTTGATTAATTCGACGAAGTGTGCTAGCATCGAACGTATCAGCAGAAATAGTACAAACGTCACATAATCACTATCAGTTCTCAATTGGTACTTGACTATGTGAGCATGTAATTTTTGCCTCACCAAAAATACTTCCACAAAATCAATAAATAGATTTTTCTTATTTATTTTTAAGATTTTTTAAGAATTTTTGGTAATTATTTGTATTTAGTCGCATTTTTCATGCATTTTTAGCATTTTAAAATCATAGAAAATAGCAAAAAATATCTAAATCATCATTACATTGCATTTGTAAGTCTTAATTGCATTTAGAATCTAATTGCATAAGTTGAATGCACTATTAAAACAAAAATCAAAAAAATAATATTGCTCATTTTTAGTTTCTAGTTTTAAATTAGTAACTTCCTTCATTAGTTTTAAAGTAAATTAATTGTTCAAATGTAAGAAATAGTTAATTAGGGTCATTTCATAATTAAGATTTGATTTAGGACCTAATCTAGGTTTTTAATTAATTAGTTGAGGGTTTAAAATTATTTAAAAAAAAAGAAGAAAGAAGAAAATACAAAGAAGAGGAACTAAAGAAATGTGTTATAACTAGGCCAAAGCTTCAATGGCCCAAATTCCTTTAACCAAATCTCGCCCAGCTCAAGCCCTAGTCCGGTCCAAATCCCCCACCAATAAAACGACCCCGTTTTAATTATGAGCAATCCTGGCCGTTGATCCTTTTGGATCTAACGGCTCGGAACTCCCCTCCCCTAAAATATATATATATNCCACAAAATCCTCCGATGTCGCTGCACACCGAAAACTGCCTACGGTGACGGCGACACTCCAAATACACCCAAAATCATACCTTAAACCCCTCACCCTTCATCTCTCACCTCTCTCTAATAGCCGCCCTAAACCGCCGCCAGAAATCGCCCACGGCGGCGATCGATCTCCAAACCGCCTCAAAATCCTACCCTACAATCCCCTCTTCACCCTCAACCCAAATATACCGTTAGTTTTCCCAAATCCCTCACCAAATCCCTTCAATTTCAGATCTAAAAAAGCCAAACTCCTAGATTTTCCCCTTTTCTGATTTTTTCTTCTAATCAAACCTCAGCCCTTAACTAGTTTGTTCAAAGATCCTCCTGCCAAGATCTCCTGTCAGGGATTCACGTTCCAGACGGGTATCTTGGCAAAAGAAGTTTTGGCAACTAGACCTCTTTTGTCAAGTCAATCCGATTTAGGTATACCCTCATTTCTCTTTTCTATATTTTTTTCTTCTCTGAATCACTGATTTTAGGTGTTTAATTTGTTATTTGATTAGTTCAATTAAAATAGGTTTATTTAAGTTAATTGCATGATATTTAGTTTAATCGCATATTATTTAGATTAATTTAATTGATTTAATTAGTTTAGTAATGTAGTTAGGTGAATTAGTCGTTTGTTTCTATTTTCATTTGATCTTTGAGTTGGTTTTTGATTGTTTGGTTGCTGATGTTGAATGTCAATTGGAATTAAAAGGGTTGAAGGGGTAATAATAGAAACCTTAAGGGAGTTAATTGAAAATTAAAATCAGGGAGTCTAAATCTAGAAGTGTCTGGAAGGTTCTAGAAGATAATGGTAGGGACTAAAGTGTAATAAAATAATTGGAATAAGGTAAAATAGATAGGAAGTTTCTAGAACAGGGACAGATGTCCCAAGCTGATTAGAAAAAAGATAAGGATAAGAGTGAAATATCCAGAAATTAGACAGTTGTCTATTTTCTGTTTTAGGAAGGTGCCAGAAATTGGACAGCTGTCCATTTTTCTGTTTTGGAAGATGCCTATTTCCTGATTTTAAGGGAATACCTCTCATTCCTATCCCTTTACATCCCTGCTCTATATAAAGGCACTCACATTCTTTCATAACACACACACTGATTTATTTGAAAACACATTGAATTCTCTGCATTCTCAATAGAAAACTCTTGCATTTTCCTTTTCAATTCCTGCATTAATAGTAGAAAAAACACACATAGAATTCCTAAGATATCTCAAGTTTGAAGTTTGATTCTGGAGCTGTTCTTTGTTATTATTTGTTTGCTGCTGCTGTTTTTGGATTGCTGAGCTTTGCCCTTCTGGTTTTCTGACCTTTATTTGGTCTTGTTAAGTGCTGTTTTCTGCATCTAGGTATATTCTGAAACCTCAAATGTTGAACTTGATATTTAATGAAAGCTGGAATTCTATTTCAAATGCTACTGTGAATTCTGTTTAGCTGTGCTTATTGATTCTGTTGCTGTGTTTTTTTTAGTTAGTTAAGGTATAGCTAATTGATTTCAAGCTAAATGATATTTGTATAAGCTTAGTTCATGATTGAAATGAGTTAAATCTGCATAACCTTTATAAAGTTGGATCTAGACTTGGTTTATTTGCATTCAATTGAACTAATTGTTATTATGAAATTTACGGCATTTTGAGTAGTGACCATTGAGCATTGTTTGAGTTAAGGACATGGAATCAGCCCACAGCAACCCATGTGTAAATCAGAGTAAGTCATGATTGCATCAGGAACATGTAAGGTGAGAATCTGGCAAATGGAGTAAGATCCAGGAGATTGATTCTATGGGAGAGGGCTCAGCTGAAATAGAACCAGCTCTAATAAAGTTTTAGACAATTTCATTTAGTTTTTTTTTTGTCTTGTTAGGAAAATTTGATTAATGGACAGTTTGTTGTAACCTTAAGCTCCATTGTATTGAGTTTTGGAAATATGTGTTTAGATATATTAAGTGATAATTACAGTGGTTGTCACGGTTTATTTTAATTCATTAATGGCATGTAGATTAATATTAGGGAAAAACTTTGTAAATCCTACTACATTTAGCATCGTGTGAAATTCTTGCGAACTCTTTAGTACTTGTAATTAATTAAACTGTTAACTAGTAGTTTTTTTTTTCCTAATTCTCATGCTTATTAAATTATTAATTAATGCTTCTTTGTGCAATGTAATCTTCCTGTGCTATTGGGCTAGTCATGATGGCCAGTTTCATTTTAGTCAAGCTAATATAATTGGGCCAGACCCTGAAGGGTTTTTTGAGTACGATGTATTTATAAATTGAAGATTCTATGAATCTTTTTTTAGTATAACTTCAGTCCATGCCCTACAAATTTGGAATCTGTCTTAGGCCCATCCTATATACTTGGGCCATGTTGAAATCCTTAATAAGAGTTTTTCCTTTTTACCAATTCATCACCCCCAGCGGACTTAGGCGAGAATATCTGCAGTCCATCCAAAACAAATGACCTTCATGTTTTTATCTCAAACCTAGATATTAACAATCCATAAACATTGTAGTTTGCTTTAGGCGCGTAATTAAATCATCAAAACTATGGGTACGGTTCCCGTGGCATAGTCGTAATACGTAAATCCCATTCGGGTGTGGATTTCATGTGACCCGACCATAACTTCAAACAATAATTAAAATAAACACGTCGTAAATTGCGGGTGCATTTCATGTGTCGCGGTTTGCGACGTGTACCAAAACGACAAGTGTACGACATCGTGACTTGTTCCAAAATAATTCCATAAATAATTATAAGCGGTAAAAGGTTAAAAATGCACAATAGGTTTAAAACTTATAATAAATCAGATAATTAGGCCAATTATTAATGGTTAAGCGACCATGCTAGAATCACGAAACTCGGGAGTGCCTCACACCTTCTCCCGGGTTAACAGAATTCCTTACCCGATTTTTTGGTTTTTGCAGACTTTAAAACAGAGTCAAAACTTCCTCGATTTGAGATTTTAAAATAAATGGTGACTCGGAACACCGTAAATAAATAATTTCGAGTGACGACTCTGAAAATAAACAAATAATCTCAATTCGATTAATGTCACTTAAATTGGAAAAACTCCGCTATCCCTATCCTGCGGGAAAAAGGAGGTGTGGCAGATTATTTATGTTAATTGTGTTCAGTTTGTGGTCTTATAAGTACACGGTTAAGACTATTAATTAACCCTTCTGAAGCTTGGTAGCTGTGAGTTAAGTACGTTCTCTCTTGATTTGCAAGTGGTAAAGGAAGGAGAAATGTCAGAGTAATACTTACCAATTAAGCATTATTATTCAAGATTCTTTGTCTTTCTGTTCCTAAAATAAATTAATATTTGCGCACTTTAGGAGTTAAGGGCTAATCGGGGAAAAATTCAACTCTCTTGGGGGCACTTGTTACTTCTACAGGAGTTTCCACTTTTGGAAATTGGAAGTAAGACAGCAATGGGTTGGTGAAAAGAAGAAAGAAAAGGAAATAGACATCTAAAAGCGGCCAACCTATGAACATAAGATTGTTAGGTCGAATAAAACAATACGTATGAGATAGTGGAATGCTTTTAAAAGGTTACGAAAATCCATTTAACTAAAACAGTACTCCCGTTTCAATTTATGTGATGCAGTTTGAGTGGACACGGAGTTTAAAAAAAAGTAAAGACTTTTGAAATTTGTGGTCCTAAATAAGTTAAAAGAAATCCAGAGTAATTGTTTGGTTATAAAAACTTCTCATTAAAGGTATAATTTGAAGTTTAAACTAAATTGTTTCTAAATTTAGAAAAAGTTCATTCTTTTTGAAATGTACCAAAAAGAAAATAGGTTCGGAACACTATTAGTTAGGTGAAATTAGAAGCAGCTACGATTTTTTTATTTCTTTGTCTCACTTTGGATAAACAAGAAAAATAAAATAAAATAACTTCTTGCGACTATATTCAGAGGGTGTTCCAGTTATATTCCTCTATGTCTTAATAGTAAGAGAGATCTTTTTAATAATTTTGGTGGTGAACATCGATGTAGATGGTATCAGATACATATTGCTAAATAGTACTCCATCCATTTCAATTTAGATGAGTTAGTTTCATTCTGCATGAAGTTTAACAAAAAAGAAAAGACTTTTGAAACTTATGACCTTAAAAACTTAAGGGGTAAAAACTTTGTGGGGCCATGATATTTGTGTGGTTATAAAAGCTTCTCATTAAGAGTAAAATGAGTAAAATGAATAGTTTAAAGTTGAATTATTTCTAAATTTAGAAATGTGTCACTTATTTTGGAACATACTAAAAAAAAAGTATTTTATCTAATTTAGTGATAGATATGAACATACGTTCATATTTTTCGATTGTTTCCTCAAATATATTTAACATTTTGGTCTCAACCTTTTATTGACAGGAGTGGAGCTAGAAGTCGATGTACTAGTTAAGTTAAACTCAATAGCTTTAGTTCAAATCATGTATTTGTATTATGAAATTCACTAAGTATATCTAAATATTAAATTCAAAACCCATTTACTAACACCGGATGATACTATCCTAAAATTTAAAAACCATAAAGCTTAAATCCCGATTCAGCTTTTACTTATTAAGCTCTACAAACGACAATAGCTATAATTTTGTTTATTATTTTTTATTTTTTATGATCTATCCTATCCCATCCGACATTGTCCTTCAGGAAAGAAATTTTGCAAAAAAAACTCTAAGATCATGTGTCTTAGTTAGGATTTAGGAATAAAAGTAGGGTAGAGACGATTTGTTGAAATATCAAAATAGTTAAGTGCATTAAAAGGTAGAGGTGCTTCTTTGGAAATTGAAGAAAGGACAAAGGCTGGCAAAACCAAGTCAATTTCTACATCTGCTTTTGCCCATATACTTCTTTATGCTTTCTTATACATCTAAGATATTCAATACTCATATTACTGGTTTACTACTAAAACAGTAGCATGATTTTATATTATATACCTATATTCCACAACTATATTTACTTTGGTTATTTTATCTTAAAATAATGGCAAAACAAATAACAATAATATCAATAGTAAAAAGGTTATGAAACTTTTTTAGGATCCAAAAAGGTCATGGAACTATGCTAATAATACGTGTGAATGCATGAAGTGAGTAGCCATCATCACCTTGCTTCTATTGTCCACACGCGATATGTCTAATCTTCCTTGAAAAAGAATTATTCTTTTGAGAATACTAAAACCATAATGACTCAACATGAGATTTTAATACTTTTTGGATTGAGTTAGCTTCCTACGTATTATGAATATAAAGTATGATACAAATCTTTTACGTATTGTCATAGTCAAGATAGTGTAGGTAATTATAAGATATGATTAGATCTTGTGAATATGTAACGGAGCAGAAATCAAGTAAGGGTCATCGTAGTAGTAAGCGACATGGGAGTTGGCTTCCATGCAGATAGCTCAACGCCAAGAAATTAGGGGCCGCTCAAGTATATGCGGGGTCAAAATTTAATATGAGGCATAAATTTTTAAAAAGAATTTATTGTATATATTTTTGTTTGAAATATTCTTCTAGCTTTATAAGGTATAAAATTGTTAATAATATTTTTATAAATATTTTTTCAAATAATTCTTTTTTCAATTGATACTATACTCAACTCATTTAGTCTTTCTTGAGATATTGTTAATTTTAAATAAGTTATTATAGAGCAATAGAAGTATAGAGCTATTGGAAGTTTAAAAGTATTGTCGAACACTTAAACTAATAAAATCTTGGAGAAAGAATGTGAGTAAGAATATTAAAGAGAAAGACAAAAAATATGTAGGGTTTTGAATATGAAGAGTGTATACGGGTAACCAGGGCTAATGAGCACCCCGATTTTTCGGTGGGACAAACGAAGCAAGGACATAACTACAAGGAATCGAAATCGAACTTGGGAACCTCTCGTATCAAGGCCCGAACAAAACACCTACCCTCGAAGCTATCGAGACCATGCCCCGGGCCCTGTTCGAGCCCCATGACTCTGAAAAATACTACAAAGCAGTGCACACAGCTAGCGAAGGGCCGTGATATCCGCGCCAGACCGGGTATTACGATGTGAATCTCGGCCTGTATCGGCAGCAGATCAGTAATTAATGAAAAAGAAGATTTTTTACCTTTTTTAGAATTGTACTAGGGATGATACTCTCCTACTATATAAAGGAGATAATTTTTATTCAAGAGACACACTAAAACAGGCATAGCAAGGCAACATACATTTCTTTTCTCTGCTTCGAAAAGTTATTCAAAGTTCTTATTTTAGCTCATTGTTCTTCATAAATATTTGGCTCCGAATCGAATGCATGCTAATTGTTAAGCTCATAACCGAGCTCAATACTACTACTGATTTGGTTGTTTATTCTATCTTTAATTTTCTCATCTAACGTTATTAGACACTTGTAGTTAATTAGTCCACATATCCTTAAAATTGTGTATAAATTTAACTGTTATCTATTTTTAAGGGTAAAAAATTTGGCCCCCACCATGGGGCTAAGGATAGTAGTGGTAGTTTGATATAATTTTTCATAACACACTCTATTTTGCGCTTGTTCTTTGAGATTTTAATTTTAGATCTACCTAAGAATGTCAAACTCTCAGTCTGCTCACTTAAACGTTGATGATGAGTCTGTCCATCATTGCGAAAATAACAATGTAGTACCTAGAAACGAGGTGCCCCCTGCTGATCCCAACGGAGTCCCAGTTGCAGACCCGATAGATGCCAACTCACATGTTACCATCGATGCTAACCTGTCGACCGACCCGAAAAACAACATTCGCGGAGAGCCCAACCAACGACTTGAGGTACGCCCGAAGGTGAAGGAGACTGAATCAATATGCGGACGATCTTCGAAATGTTTCATGCCCAATAGGTGGCGATAGCACAACTGCAGAATCAAAGCCACACCCCCAGCAGATTTTAGCCCGAACCATCCCATGAAAACACCCAAAGAAATGAGCAAGTCACAGAAAGGCCGGGTGAAGCTGAGCCCGGGGCCAACCCCGAAAGAATAAAAATGCTTAAGGAACTGACAAAGTGTGTGAAATCGGGGGAGAAGAAAATTGAGGCCAATGGCAAACAAATGGAGACCTATAACTCCAGAGTTGATCAAATCCCAGGAGCGCCCCCGATATTGAA